GTGAATGAGAGGGTGGCCTCCCTCCGCCTACGTGTGGGGGGACAGGTTCTGACTGTCGTTTGTGCTTATGCACCAAACGGCAGTTCAGATTATCCACCCTTTCTGGAGTCCTTGGAGGGGGTACTGGAAAGTGCACCTCCGGGGGACTCCCTTGTTCTGCTGGGGGACTTCAATGCTCATGTGGGCAATGACAGTGAGACCTGGAGGGGCGTGGTTGGGAGGAACGGCCCCCCTGATTTGAACCAGAGTGGTGTTCTGTTGTTGGACTTCTGTGCTCGTCATGGATTGTCAATAATGAACACCTTGTTCAAGCATAAGGGTGTCCATATGTGCTCTTGGCACCAGGACACCCTAGGCTGCAGTTCGATGATCGACTTTGTCATCGTCTCATCTGATCTACGGCCACATGTCTTGGACACTCGTGTGAAGAGAGGGGCGGAGCTGTCCACTGATCACTACCTGGTGGTGAGTTGGCTCCGATGGTGGGGGAGGATGCCGGCCAGACCTGGCAGACCCAAACGTATTGTGAGGATTTGCTGGGAACATCTGACAGAGTCTCCTGTGAGACGGAGTTTTAACTCCCACCTCCGGGAGAACTTCGAACATGTTCCGAGGGAGGTGGGGGACATTGAGTCTGAGTGGACCATGTTTCGTGCCTCTATTGTCGAGGCGGCTTACCGGAGCTGCGGCCGCAAGGTTGTCGGTGCCTGTCGTGGCGGCAACCCTCGAACCCGATGGTGGACACCGTCGGTGATGGATGCTGTCAGGCTAAAGAAGGAGTCCTATCGAGCCTTTTTGGCCTGTGGGACCCCGGAAGCAGCTGATGGGTACCGGCAGTCCAAGTAACATGCGGCTCGGGTGGCCGCTGAGGCAAAAACTCGGGCATGGGAGGAGTTCGGAGAGGCCATGGAGAACGACTTCCGCATGGCTTCGAGGCGATTCTGGTCCACCATCCGGTGTCTCAGGGGGTGAAAGCAGTACGCCACCAACACTGTTTATAGTGGGAGTGGTGTGCTGCTGACCTCAACTTGGGATGTTGTGGGTCGGTGGGCGGAATACTTTGAAGACCTCCTCAATCCCACCGGCACGTCTTCCACTGAGGAAGCGGAGCCTGGGGACTCTGGCTCCGGTCCTCCAATCTCTGGTGCTAAGGTTACCGAGGTAGTTAAAAAGCTCCTCGGTGGCAGGGCCCCAGGGGTGGATGAGATTCGCCCAGAGTTCCTTAAGGCTCTGGATGTTGTAGGGTTGTGTTGGCTTTTGCGACTCTGCAATATTGCGTGGACATCGGGAGAAGTTCCCCTGGATTGGCAGACCGGGGTGGTGGTCCCCCTATTCAAAAAGGGGGACCATAGAGTATGTTCCAACTACAGGGGAATCACGCTCTTAAGCCTCCCTGGTAAGGTATATTCGGGGGTTCTGGAGAGGAGGGTCCGTCGGATAATCGAACCTCGGATTCAGGAGGAGCAGTACGGTTTTCGTCCTGGCCGTGGAACATTGGACCAGCTCTACACTCTCAGCAGGGTCCTGGAGGGTGCGTGGGAGTTTTCCCAACTGGTCTACATGTGTTTTGTGGACTTGGAGAAGGCGTTAGACTGCGTCCCTCGGGGGACCCTGTGAGGGGTACTCTGGGAGTATGGGGTACCGGGCCCTTTGATACAGGCTGTTAGGTCCCTGTATAACCGGTGTCAGAGCCTGGTCTGCAATGCCGGCAGTAAGTCGGGCTTGTTCCCGGTGAGAGTTGGACTCCGCCAAGGTTGCCTTTTGTCACCGATTCTGTTCATAACTTTTATGCACAGAATTTCTAGGTGCAGCCAAGATGTTGAGGGGATCCGTTTTGGTGGCCTTCGTATTGTGTCTCTGCTTTTTGCAGATGATGTGGTCTTATTGGCTTCATCAGATCGTGATCTACAGCTTTCGCTGGAGCGGTTCGCAGCTGAAAGCGACGCGGTCGGGATGAAGATCAGTTCCTCCAAATCCGAGGCCATGGTCTTGAGCCGGAAAAGGGTAGAGTGCCCTTTCCAGGTCAGGGAGGAGGTCCTACCCCAAGTGGAGGAGTTCAAGTATCTTGGGGTCTTGTTCACGAATGAGGGACAAATGGAGCGTGAGATCGATTGGCGGATAGGTGCTGTACAGGTCTGTCGTGGTGGAGAGCTGAGTCAAAAGGCGAAGCTCTCAATTTACCGATCGATCTACGTTCCTACCCTCATGGTCACGAGCTTTGGGTTGTGACCGAAAGAATGAGATCTCGGATACAAGCGGCTGAAATGAGTTTTCTCCGCAGGGTGTCTGGGCTCTCCCTTAGAGACAGGGTGAGAAGCTCGATCATCCAGGAGGGACTCAGAGTAGAGCCGCTGCTTCTCCACATTGAGAGGAGCCAGTTGAGGTGGCTTGGGCATCTGTTTAGGATGCCTTCTGGTGGCCTCCCTGGTGAGGTGTTCTGGACACGTCCCACCGGAAGGAGGCCCAGAGGAAGACCCAGGACACGCTGGAGGGACTATGTTTCTCGGCTGGCCTGGGAACGCCTCGGGATTCACCCTGAAGAGCTGGCCCAAGTGGCTGGGGAGAGGGAAGTCTGGGCCTCCCTACTTAGGCTGCTACCCCCGCGACCCGACCCCGGATAGGCGGAAGAAAATGGATGGATGGATGGATGGATGGATGGACTCCTGAATTTGTAGTTGAAAACAAGGTGAAGCTTCCACAAGTTGGTCGGTGGTTGGACATGGAGGCTATTATTTATTATTGCAGCCCAGTACATCTGCTGCAGCCCGGTACATCTGCCACAGCCCGGTACATCTGCTGCAGCCACAGCACAGTATGTCTTCTGCAGTCCGGTGCATCTGTTGCAGCCCCGGTACATCTGCTGCAGCCACAGCACAGTATGTCTGCTGTAGCCACAGCACAGTATGTCTGCTGCAGCCACAGTCCGGTGCGTCTGCTGCAGCCACAGCCCGGTGCATCTGCTGCGGCCACAGCACAGTACGTCAGCTGCTGCCCAGTGCGTCTGCTGCAGCCGCAGCACAGTATGTCTTCTGCAGCCACAGCCCGGTGCATCTGCTGCAGCCACAGCCGGGTGCGTCTGTTGCAGTCTGGTGCATCTGCTACTGGGCGTCTGTTTTCCAACAAGCCAACAAAATCCAGCTAAATCCGGGAGTGCCCCATTTTCAGCCTGCATGCATGTGGAACTGCTTTTTCTACTAAACACTTAAACCATGTGTAACACAATTGTGTTTTTGTGTTTTCTATCTGAACTATAATAGTTTTGTCGGATGAGATAAAAGACCACCCACGATGGATGTGCCTCTTCGGAAAAATTCCACCACCTGGAGACTATTTTACAGCATTACTCAAATGTAAAAGCAGATCATCACCTAATATAAAGAAATGCATTATTTTATGATATTTTTTCTTCTTTCAGCTGCGCCCTTCTTCAGGGGTTGCCACAGCAAACTAACTCACACAAAGACTTGGCCATTGTTTCTCCACATGTCCTTCCTGATGCAACCACAGACCACTGAGCTACCACAGCCCTCTGTGTGGAGAAGAGAGCTGCCATTTAGGGTTCCCGGGGGAGCAAATGGTGAGGGTTAAGGGCCTTGCTCAAGAGCCCAGGGTGGGGCAAATGAGGGTGGAGTCAGGTTCACCTTTCTCACCCACATTTGAATGTTGTCGGTCGAGGTAGTTGAACTAGTGACCTTCCGATCACAGGCTTGCCTTCTGTAACCACTGCCCCACAACTCCCCCTCCATATAATGAATATGAAATAAAAAAGCATTTATAGTGGATTTCAGTAAGGTACATTAAATGGAAGGTTTAGAGAAAGCATAAAAAATATTAATAATAAAAATAAAAACACAAACAAAAACATAAGCGTGACTGATTTTTTTTTCCCCATGAGATGGTTATCAGTCCAAAGAGTTTGTTTTATTTTTTTTTCTAAATAAAAGACTTTTATATTCATTTCTTATGTCTTAATTTTTAATAAGTTTTTACTTGTTTCTAATGAAAATATTTGACCAGCAGTCATCAAACAGTAAAAAACCTCAACGAAAATTCAAATCACTCCTAACATTTGATTTTAATTACAGAAGAAAACAAAGATAATGAAGCTGTGATAATCTGACAGGCCTAACTCAGAAACAAATGTCTTTGTGTGTTTTTATTCATATTTTCATCACACAGATGAACACAGGTATGTGGAGAGGAGGGGGGCTATTAGCTAATGGCACAGCCAGATTCTTTCTTTACCTCCAAGTTTGGCCAACTATCAACTCAGACAGAACAACAAGAGGCTCAAACTTTATTAGCAGGCAGTAAATATGTTGTTAAAACCTGTGTGAGTCTTCATGAGGAGTAGCTGACACACGGTGGCAGATGGTTAACCTGCTGCCACACAGACAGCTGAAGGTGGTCGGGACAACTCCTCGTAATTTAAACATGGGACAGTTTTCAACTCATGGAGAAGTCTGGTGACGTTTAAATCTGACGAGATTTCATGTCACAAGCTGTCGTTACAGCCAGGCTTGTGGTTCAGTCCTCTACACGGTGTTTAATCTGTATTCTGACGGATAAACAACCATATTTACAAGATTACCAGCAAGGACACTTCAAACCAAACACTGATTGTTTCACAGCATCAGACCGGCACACTTCACTAAGACTATCTACAAACATTATCGTGTGTGTTTCAGTTTGTAAGATACATGAGCACAATGTGCATGTGGAGATGCAGCTACAAGTCATTCTCGTCATTGTTCTGGAAAGGTCTGAATGTTTACATCTTGATGCAACGTGTTACAAACTTTAATCCACTACTGCATTAAAATAATAATAAAAAAATTCTACACGTTAGTATTTTACAATTATTTAAAAAAGTAAACCTTCATCTATAGGCATTTTAAAATATATTCCATCAAAAATAGTGCGACAAAGTTCACCAGTAGAAAAGAAATGTAGAAACGAGCTCTGAAGTGAAATGTGGAGAGCAGAAACGTGATGGACGTCCTGCAAAGCCTGAACTGCTTCGTTTGGATCCAGCAGAACAAACTCACGTTTTATTTCTGCCTCCTCTCTCTGTGTTAAAACTACGCAATGACAGCAACTAGAAACTAAAGTGAACTGAAGGTGTTTCAGTCAGACTGTATTTTACATGTTTGTCCTGTGAGCTCAGGACACTTTTGGCAGATTGAAGTGGTTGGATTTGAGCTCAGAGCAGGAAGCGCAGCGGCTTCACGGAGGGCAGAACCACGTCACATTGTCCACAACTGCCCCTCATCAAATCACAAATGACGATTTATGTCGGAAATCCCCCTGCAGGAATCAAACAGAGAACAGATGATTAGATGTGGAAGATCAGCAGATAGCATTCACAACACCAAGTTCTAACATCAGGAAGTGAACACATTTAATCAAATTAAATTGCTTCTCTTATATTTTCATAGTATTTATAAGTAGGACAATTGAAACTGAAATGATTTATCAGTTTATGTAAAAAACTTTTTCCGAACCGACTGTTTACTTGCACCTACCAAACGTGGCAATCACCAACAAACAAACCCTTTGATATTTTAACTATCCATTAGGAAGATCTCATTCTTGACCACTCAGAAAATAGAAAATGAGGTAAAACAAACCTCAGATGAATGACAGCATGGAAAACTTTATACCACGACAGTCAACTGTGATGAAATGAATGAAAATCTGCTTCCATCACAGGATTCCACAGGTTCATAATCAGCTAATCTGACTGTTTATCATCAGCTCAACCACTGAAACAAAACAGCTTCTGCCTTTCGGGAGCATCCAGGTGTGTGTTAACACAACGCCAAGATGAAACGACATCAGCAATAAAAACAGAAGCAACAGTTGCTGGCCATCAAGCTGGGAAGAGGCAAACATTGAGCGCAAAAATGTTAAAGTTCATCAATGTTAAGACAGAAAGAGCACTGACGAGTGGTGAACATCTGAGACAGCCAGGAGCCTCAACTGATTCACCATGATGTTAAACTACCAAGAGAAATGAGCTCTGGTTCAGAATCTGCAGACCTCAGAGCTCTGGATCTGCTGAATGACTAAGGGTTAATGCTGCTGAAGGACACTCTACAAGCTGCTGAATGACTGAGGGTTACTGTTGCTGAAGGACAATCTACAAGTTGCTGAATGACAGACACATAATGCAGCTGAAGAATGTTCTACAAGCTGCTGAATGAATAAAAATTACTGCTGCTGAAGAATGGTCAGGAAGCTGCTGAATGACTGAGGGTTACTGCTGTTGAAAAACATTATACAAGCTGCTGAATGACAGGGTTACTGCTCCTGAAGAACATTCTAAAAGCTGCTGAATGACTCAGGGTTACTGCTGCTGAAGGACAATCTACAAGCTGCTGAATGACATAGGGTTTCTGCTGCTGAAGGACAATCTACAAGCTGCTGAATGACAGAAGGTTACTGTTGCTGACGGACACGATTTGAGCAGCTGAATGACTGAGGGTTACTGTTGCTGAAGGACATTCTACAAGCTGCTGAATGAATGAGGGTTACTGCTGCTGAAGAACGTTCTACAAACTGCTGAATGACTGAGGGTTACTGCTGCTATAGGACAATCTACAAGCTGCTGAATGACTGAGGTTTACTGTTGCTGAAAGACAATCTACAAGCTGCTGAATGACTGAAGGTTACTGTTGCTGAAGGACAATCTACAAGCTGCTGAATGACTGAGGTTTAGTGTTGCTGAAAGACAATCTACAAGCTGCTGAATGACTGAGGGTTACTGTTGTTTAAGGACAATCTACAAGTTGCTGAATGACTGAGGGTTACTGTTGCTGAAGGACGATCTACAAGTTGCTGAATGACCGACACATAATGCAGCTGAAGTATGTTCTACAAGCTGCTGAATGAATGAAAATTACTGCTGCTGAAGAACGGTCTAGAAGCAGCTGAAAGACTGAGGGTTACTGCTGTTGAAAAACATTCTACAAGCTGCTGAATGACTCAGGGTTACAGCTGCTGAAGTACAATCTATAAGTTGCTGAATGACTTAGGGTTACTGCTCCTGAAGGACAATCAGCTAGTTGCTATATGACTGAGGGTTATTGCTGCTGAAGAACGTTCTACAAGCTGTTGAATGACAGAGTCACTGCTGCTGAAGGACAATCTACAAGTTGCTGAATGACTGAGGGTTAATGCAACTGAAGAAAGTTCTACAAGCTGCTGAATGACTGAGGGTTACTGTTCCCGAAGAACGTTCCACAAGCTGCTGAATGACTCAGGGTTACTGCTGATGAAGGACAATCTATAAGCTGCTGAATGACAGAGTTACTGCTGAAGAAGTACGTTCTACAAGCTGCTAAATGATGGAGGGTTCCTGCTGCTGAAGGACAATCTAGAAGTTGCTGAATGACTGAAGGTTAATGCTGCTGAACAAACGTTCTACAAGCTGACAAATGACTGAGTGTTACTGCTGTTGAAGAATGTTCTACAAGGTGCTGAATGACTG